TTTTAGGAAATTAAAAAAAAATCAACTATTGACCAAAGTTACCCCAGCGACCAAAGTTACTCCGGTTGAAGGTTTATTAAATGACTAGATGTGGAAAATTGTGAGGATTGCTGTTAAATAATAGAAAAATGAAAGTAGCGTTTATATTCAGTGCAGAGGGCCATATTGGGTTACTGGTGTCCTCATCTTAGACCCTTTTAATCTAATCAACAAGGAGGGGCAAAAAATGACAAAACTTTTCCTAGAAAGTTTAAGTTGATTTATATATTGCTTAAACCTTTTTTTATTGATATTATTTTTAGGCAGTAGGCAAGATTCCCATTGATGTTAATAAGCTGAATGTTGACTTACTTTCAATAAGTGGTCATAAAATATATGGACCAAAAGGTTAGTATAGAATTAATTAAAATATATCAATCAAATTAGGTTATCCATCGACTTAGTACAAATCGATTTTCGAATTTTCTTTTGTTTCTTTTTTAAAGTCTTAGTTTTGAGTATTTACTTTTTAAGTGTTTCTTTGTTTATAATATGACTTTTTTTTTTTTTTTTTTTTTTTTTTTTTTTTTTTTTTTTTTTTACTCTTTATTTTCTTTTGATAATCTTTATTTTAACATCTTTTATATTTGAATGATTTGAATTTAACATCTTTTATATTTGAACATATTTGAAATTTTTATTTTAACAATTGACAATAAACTCAGTTTTTGATTTTCTTTATTTATTTCCTTTTTTTTTTTCAACGGTTAAATAAAACACGACTGCCATCTGCGATGACTTTGCAAAGAGTTGAATTAAGTGACAGTGAACTGCAATATCAGAAAATATTTCTGGTTTTATCAAATTTATAGTTTTATCATTCTCAGTAAAAGCTGTGAACAATGTTTTAATGGTCAATTTATCATATTGAGAAAATTTTTTTAAATCAAAACAATAAATTTACTATTGCAAAAATGGTAACAGTCAACACTAGCAAATTTTAATTTATTGTTTGTTTAAACATCAGTTAATTCAAGTATTACAAATAAATAATAAAGTTAAAATAAAGATTACTATAGGTTTAAGCAGTAATCTTAAAGTTAACCAATTATAAATTATACTAAAGCTATTTGCACATTGTACGAAACATTAAAATCTGATTTTAGTTCAGGGGAAACTTTGAAGATTTATTTATTTTAAAAATTGTATTTTGAAAATTAAACATGAATTAAATGGTGATAAAAATAATTGTAAATAAATATATGTTAATAGAGTTTTAGTTTTATTTTAAAATAGCTAAAAGTTGTTTAAATTTTTTATTTTTAAACGTTAAAAGTTTTTGTATGTTTTTATACACCTCTATAATTTTATAATTGTCTGTGCTAGAGAGTTCCAAGCATATAATTGACAGTCATATTTGATTTAAAATGAAATATTAAATATAATTTAAATAAGTTATTAAATAAGATTTAAAGAAAATATAAGTAGTTGCAATTTTTTTTTTTTAAATATTTGATCACCGCTAAATTCCATCAAACATTTGTGGTTTGCAGTTATTTCATTTGTTTTAGTAGGAAATACAATACCAATATATTCAAAAAAAAATGTTTAAATTTAAACAGTTTTAAAAACTATGAAATTAAATAAGTAAATATAATAAGTTTATAAATTACATAAAACTTGAAAATCATCAGAAAAAATATTGAAAAATATGCTGAGATAGTAGCTTAAATCTTTTTAAGATTTGTGTCTGTTAGCTTTATACTCATTATCTAGTCTGTAAAATTTAACATCTGGCCTGTAAGATTTATGCTTAGTTTTAATGCAATATCTGGTCTGTAAGATTTATACTTAGTTTACATTTGATACCTTGTAAGACTTATACTTAGTTAATAACTGTTACTTACATATTACTGACATTTTATTAATAACTTTTTGAAGCACAAGAAGAACTCATAGTTCCTGAAATTATACTACCAACAAAGTTCTTAAAGCTTACTTTACTTGTTTTTTTTTTATTTGTTTTTTAGTTTTTATAATTTTTATTCAATTAAAATAAGTTTTTACTTTTTTAATAAACTTTTTAATTATCTTCTTGTCACACATATAGAGTACAAAGCTTTTAGCTTTATAGCAAGAAATTTTTAGTAAACAATAATACATCTTCAACCTTATAAATTTTATTGTGTTTGCTAACTAAATCATTAAAATATCTGTCGTGTGTAAACTTTTTTTTAACTTTTTATATCTAGATACTTTATATTTACTAATATAAAATATCTAGATATAATATTTTTAATCATCAATTATTAGTACAGTTTATAATCTATCTCATTAAGTTAAAAGTTAATACACTTAATTTACCTTTGAGTTTTATGTGTGATAAAGACCCCAAAACTCAAATTCTGCATTCAAGATGGAGAGGTAACTACCAAGAAAATATCATGATATGCTAATTCAAGAGATGTATTCTAAAGGAAGTTGTAATACTGTAAAGAATAACTCATCCAGTTCTTTGAAAACCAAAGGAGATACTTTAAAAATAAAGAGTCAATAATGACATCTTTGACCGCAATATTTTGTTTAAAGATGAGAAAACAACTTTATTTAGGTAACTAAAAAAATAAATACCAAATTTAATAAAATTGAATCTAATTTGAATTTTAAATGAATTTCTGATGGAAAGTAATTTTTTTATTGTTTTTTTTTTTGTCTTTTTTTTGTTAAAAATATATAAAATTTTTACATTTAAAAGTTGTGTCTTTACCAATCACATTGAAAAACTGTAGCTTTTTGTATTTTTAATAGTATTTTAACAACTTTCAAAAAACTGAATAAAACAATATTTCTCTTAAAATAAGTTATTTTAAGTGCGTTTAATGCATTTGCCCTATTAATAAAACATGTAGTGCTTTTTCTTTTTTAAAGTTAAAAAACATTGAATGTTGATATAATTTATATTGTAAAAATTTTTATAAATTTAAATATATAGTTATAAATATATGATATATAAGTTTGTAAAGAGTAAATATTTCAGGTGTTGGTGCTTTATATGTAAGAAGAAGACCTCGTGTTCGTTTAGAACCCATGATGAGTGGTGGGGGTCAAGAAAGGTATTTTTTCATTCAAAAAAAAAAATTTAATATTAAGAAAGTGTTGAAAGATATAAAGCCAAAAAATCTTTAAAAATTTCATTATTTATGCAGAGGATTAAGAAGTGGGACGTTACCAGCACCTTTGGTTGTTGGATTAGGTGCAGCTTGTGACATAGCTCGCCAAGAGATGGAGGTAATTGGTTTTTGCATTAAAATATAATTTCCTAATATTTAAACATAAATTGGTAAATTTCAAGTGTTTTAGTGAGTACCAAAAAAAAATAGAGCTTCAACATTTTGATATGTTTAAACAACAAAGTTTTCAAAAATCTTTTTAATGTGATTTTTAATTTGATTTGATCCAGGCGAAATTCGGCAGAATTAATTTTTGCATTAAATGCTAAAATAAGATACAAAGTAAATTTTTTTCAATTTGTTTTGTATGATACTTAAATTTTCATATTAATAAGGTAATTGTAGCATTTTAAGTACAGTTTAGCTAATTTAGGCCTGTTTTGAGAAATTGCATCACAAATGTATGTATATATGCATGTATGTATGGGCAATTAATGAAGCAATTGCAAAAGATGAACATTGGTACACTGTTACATATGCATAAAAACTTATGACATGCAAAAACTTATAAACTTATATAGACATGAATAAAAATGTTTGTTTTTCAAAAATAGAATGTAAAATCTATTTTACATTATGTTTGCATTCTAAGCACAATTTAATAAATTTAAAATATTCAAATTTTATGAACTCGTTAGTTAATTTACTATATGGAAAATTCAAAATTATGTATTAGTAATTTTTTTTTTTTTTTCTATTCTAGTTTTATCTAATCTGAATAAGATATATTAATTCTATTAAAAATAATAAGATATATTAATTTTATTAATTCAAGTAATTTTATTTACTTTTTTTATTTTATTTGTAAACGAAAGCAATATTTTTTGTGTAAACCTGCTATTAATTTTTCCATTATTAATGTTGTGAACATGTGCTACAGCAGCATCAAAGGGTACAAAAATCAAAATTAGACCATGTTCAAAAGGAAAAGGCTGTTTGTTTCAACTGCACCATATGGACTAACTTGAAGGCTATCCAGTTTTTAGGCTCTTTCTAAAATTTGATACATTTGTCACTACCGGTATCTGATTGATACTCAACCCACTTCACCATCCTGAACAGTTATGCAAGTATTAGCAAAAGATTTAGAGAAGCTCTGGAATGATAAAACTAGCTTTCTAGCCTTATATCCAGAGCATCAGAAATTGAACAAACTTATGTATGCTTTTATAATTTTTTACAAGATTGTTTATCTAGAATAACAACTAAAGAATTTCTTTTACCATTTGACATTCTTGATGAAGATAGAAAAACAAAAAAGGAAGAACAGATATTTTGTCATAAATAAAAATGCCATCTACTAGCCAAATATTTGTTGAACTTCTTTTTAGTGTGCAGTTAGTACTGAGAAACCTGGAAACCGAAAAATTGCAAGGTTTTTAGTGTGCAGTTAGTTCTGAGAAACCTGAGAAACCAAAAAAGTGCCATAATTAAGTTATAAGTAAAACCTTTTACTTTTAACAGTAAATAACCATTGGTTCATATATATGAATGGGTTTTGATATTTATTTTGGGTTATCGCCATATGAAGTACAAAAGCTTGCATTTGAATGTGAAGTAATTATAGCAGCTGTGACACAGTGGTAGTGCACTTGCCTTAGAAACAAAAGATTTGTGATTCAAACCCCACCTCTGGGCAAGTTTTGCGACATTGGTTAGGAAGGAGGCATGAACTTTTAATTAAATGGTCATCCAGGGTGTTCTGTAATTAGACGGTAAGGACTTCCTGGGGCACCTAAATAAAATTAAAAAAAAATAATGATAAGTTAATAATGTAACTTAATTGAATGATTTGATGCAAATGCTTTTGAGACATTTTAAAAGTTGATTATGACTTCGGCACTTGTTACATATAATTGCTGCACTTTACTTCATGATTGGTATGAGTTTAGTTCTAACAATATCACAAAACACAGAACAAGTGTAAGCCATTTGCCAAAAAACTAAGACTGAGTAGCTAATACTCCAGGACAACATTTCTGGTGGATATTTTTGAAGTGTGTCCTTCATAAATACTGTCACATTACCCACGAATTACACAAGATGAAAAAATGTCAGTCTACACTCTAAAAAAAAGGTAGAAATTTTAAGTAATATATGTGGTACACCCATAATCAGGAATAATTTTCTACCTTCCGCTATTCCACCCTCCTTAACTATTTAATGAGGAAGCTCTAACGCCATATGATTATGGAAATAAGAATGTGGAATTTATGGTTTTCTTATTTCTGCCCTTCAGTTAAAGAAATTGTCCTAAAATTAAAACTAGTCTAAAATAACACCATACAAGTGGAACTATAAGCAGCTAAAAGAATTGTCATGTTTTCATTCAGCATGGTGGAATAGCCAAGCAATCTATGTATTGTTTTTTTTTTTTTTATTAATAGTAATAGGTAAGTATATTAGCTGCTCCTCATCTAATGTGTAGTTTATGGTGTTAGGTAGAACCAAGATTTTTCCAAGCTTAATACTGTATGAAAAATATTATTTTAATTGTTTAACTTTTTTATTAAGTTTAAATTATTTTATTGAATTTTTTACAGAACTCAATTTTACCATTTTATAACCAAGCAAAAAAGTATGAAACAATGTATTGTGCTTTACAATTTGTGCAATTGTATTGCAAAATTCTTTAATAATTTTTATGAAATTAGCAGTTATTTATTTTTACATTTATTTGAAATTTGTTTTTAATTATGCTTAATGTTGTACTTGCAGTTTGACAAAAAACATATAGAAAAACTTTCTTTGCGATTAATCAATGGCATTATGAGTCAAATTGATCATGTAGTAAGAAATGGTGATCCTGTGAAATCATATCCAGGTTGTATTAACTTATCATTTTCTTGTATTGAAGGAGAAAGTTTACTAATGGCTTTAAAAGATATTGCTCTTTCTTCTGGAAGGTATGCAACTATGCTTTTTTGTTTGTTTGTTTTATTTTGTCTTTTTACAATTTTTTTTTACAAAACTTTTTTTGTTTTTAAAAAAGGTTTTTGCTGTTCTTGTTGTTGTTACCTTTAGTAACAATTTTGTTTTGACTAAAGTTACACATAAGTTTGTTTGCTCTATAGTACTTTTCATATCTTTGTTTAAGACCTAAATCAGATTAATAGATAAAATCCTACAATAAATATTATTGCTAAATTGCAGAACATTAATTATAATGCCTTATCTTAACAGTCAATAAATTAAATTTTTATTAATATTATATCTTTTAAACCAGCATGATAGAACTAGTTTATCAAAGCAGGCACTCAAAATAATTGATAAGGTTTTGAGTATAAGTTTATCATCTATTTACTATTGCTTGGGCAAACGTAAGCATAGCATCATTTACATATTTGATCTTTAAAAAAATGCTTTACCTGAAAAAATGTCAAAAAATTTCTTGGGTTATTTAAAATAATTTAGAACTTAGATACTTAGATGCATCTTATTTATTTAGAAATTTCAAGTTTGAAAGAATTAGTTGGATCGTGTTTTTTATTACTATTCTTAAGTGTATTTTTTCAGTTACATAGCGCATAGTTAGTAAGTGGTCGAAGCCCTGGCTAAAAATGAGACTTTTTGCAAATCCAGCCCTGGTCCCAGCAAAACTATAAGATTTAGCAATGGTTGATAGCTGAAGCTAGAAATAAATTTATAATTCTTTATATATTAAAATTTTATGCTTACATTTAGTCTTTTATGAAATTCTGGCATATATTTATGTTAGTAATAGGGACAGATACAGTAAAAGAAGGCAACTTGTTGAATAAGAAGCCAAGCAAGAATGAGTTTTGATTGAGATGATAGCTTGTTTGAGCATTGACCATGATTAGAGAAACAGTTTAAAAGAGGAAGGCTAAAGCTTGATGATGTCATCATCATTGTCAGCAGATGATGATGATGATGATGATGATGATGATGATGATGATGATGATGATGATGATGATGATGATGATGATGATGATGATGATGATGATGATGATGACAATGATGATAATGACAATGATGATGATGATGGTAATGATGATGATAATGATCATGAAAATTATGATAATGATGGTCATGATGATGATGATCATGTTGGTCATAATGATGTTTATTAACGCATATATTCAAAGTCAAATTTTGAAGAAAAAAAATAAACTTTAGGATGTATAAATGTTTATGCAGCCCCGGTCACAAACCAGTCCCCAGCTATATTTTATCAAACCCGGCCCTGGTCTAATATCAATCTCTGTTGTTTACTAGGCGTAGTATATTGTGTCAGTTGGCGTTATAGTGCCTCAAAATAGATAGAAATTATGTTTTAGGCACCTAAACTTTTTTAGGCGTCTAAAGCATTTTAAACAATCAAAAATCAAAATAAGCAATTAAAAATTTCAAAGTAGGTTTGCTATGGATCACTTTTTGATTAAAAAATTTCTTGATACCCAAATTTTAACTTTTAGCCATTATTAAAATAAAAAGTAATTAAATTAGTATAAAATAAATATAACCCGTTTTTACGTATTAGACTCTCATAAAAAGCCCAGTGCGGAACCGATTTAAAAATAGATTTTGACTTAGCTCTCTACCATTAAAAATCATTATAAGATAGTAGTCTATTATTATTTAATTTGTTACTTGTTATTTAATCAAGTTATTTATAAATTATGTCAAAGCTAAGACTAAACGTTCATCCATCACTAGAATTTCAGAGTTTATTGGACCTGAAAAAGATTTTATTCCTAGTGAGCTGCATACAAACAGAATAGTTATTCAAAACGGAATTTTATTGAAAGTACAAAAGAACCAAAACAAATATTCTAACAACAATATTCTTGCAAACAAATCACTTGTCTACTTGTTTTTTCTCAATGGAGAAAAGCAAGTGTTAAGTTTCAACAACCAGTTATTATTTGTGAAAAATAGTTATATTGTTGAATAAAAACTTTTTGGGAGAAAATAGAAACACGTTACACGGAAAAGAACTAAATTAAAATCAAAAGAATAACTTATATTGAAATTAGACTCATGGACCTCACCACAAAACTTCTATGTATGTCCTCATACTTCTATGTATGTCCTCACCACAATACTTCTTTGTATGTCCTCATACAATAATTAGAATGTTAGAATAATCTGTCTGGGTGTACTTCCCCAAAAAGTTGTAAAAATTAAGCACATATAAGTTGCACCTGTATTTTTACTAAAAAAATTCTAACTAGGAGCTCAGATGGTTATACAGTCAAAGAAATAAGACATGTAAAAAGTCTGACATGCAGATATATATACATGCAGATGGGGCATTCTGATAAAATTGAGACAATAAAATATATAAAAAATCATATATACAGTAGTGGTCAAAAAATTAAGGCAGGCTATGTTTTTTAACTTTTTTTAACTTTTTGTTAAATTCTGACGTTATTACCTTGGATACAAATAATTTTTTTATTATATTTTGATTTTTGAAGGTATTATGATTTATTTTACACTGTAAGGTTGCCATAGGAGTGAAATAATGTTTAAAAAGCATGATATTAATAACTTTGTTAAAGGTAAAATAAATGCACTATTTTTGGAGGGTTATTTTTAAAGTAGTATAGCAAAACAACTAAAAATATCAAGATGTGCCGTGCAAAATGCTTCGTGTGCAAGACTCATCAAATCGCAAAATTGTAGTAGAAAACATGAGAATACATCACAAGAAGACTGTTTTTTAAAGAATGTTCTTAATAGTGAGCTCCACACAATATCTTCAAAGTTATCACAACTTGCTATAAAAAGGGGACTTACTATTAGTTCAAGAACAATTAAAAGAAGGTTGTGTTATGATTTTGGTCTAGTTGCAAAAAGAGCATCTAAAAACCTTTAATAACTCTAGCTCAATTACAACCTAGGATTAAATTTTGTAAAAGTTTAAAAGACAAGACACCGGAATGGTGGGAACGCGTAATGTTTACAGACGAAAGTACGTTTTAACAAGTTAGAGGCACGGGCTATAATTATGTTAGAAGACCTGTGGGAGAACACCTGAATCCAAAGTATACCATAAAAACAGTAAAACATCCTCCTTTAGTCATGGTATGGGGAGCAATCCCAGCATAAGGCTGATGCGGCTTGCACAAATTAAAAAAAGGTGAAAAAGTCAATGCACAAAAGTGTATTGAAAGACAAAGTGAAACTGCACATGGAAATTACTAAAAGCAGCATTTTCCAGCAAGATTCAGCACCTTGTCATAAAGTTAAAACAGTTAAGAAGTAGTTTACTGATAATAAAATTGAATTATTATCTAATTGGCCCTCAAGTTCACCTGATTTTAATGTTATCGAGAACTGCTGGAATATAATGAAGCAAAAAGTTGCAGCAGCCGAAATCTGAAGAACATCTTCATATGCAAATTAGATTAAAGTTCTTAAAGAAGTGTGGACTAATGAAATTACTCCAGAGTTTTGTAAAACATTAGCACATATTATGCCAAGAAGAATACAAGCCGTGCTTGATAATAAGGGTCATCCAATAAAGTATTGAACTATAACATTCAAGTCATTTAAACTGTATTTTTGCTATAATTTGGTGCTACAACTGTTATTTTATTGAATATTAACAATTTCTGATAATTTTTATCTATTTTTTTCATTTATTTTACATTTTGTACTGCATTTATTCAATAAACAATTTACACTGCAAATTTTGAGTTGTTATTTACGACGTGCTTTAATTTTTTGCCCACTACTATATATATATATATAATATTAATAGTTGTAAATGATTGGTTTTAACTCACCGAAATAAAGATGTAGAATTAGACAAAAAATATCAAGAAAATAAATCCAAGCTCTCAACAAAAAATATGATCTAGTTAATGTTAACTAAAACATCAACTGGATCATTTTTTTAAAAACAAGATGATGAAATTAAATTGTTGGTTGAAAGACATTGTTGGTTGAAAGACTTCTAAAGGAAAAGTTAAGCATCAATGCTTTCCTTGTAGCAAGATTTTTGTATTAAAAGTCAAGAAAAAACACTATGTCAATAAAAAACACAGCTATGGCTAGCATGAGGTGATTATATATATTATTGTTTTCTTGAGCTGCAAATGCTTAGATAATGAGTTATTAAAAATAAACATAAACTAGTTTTATTTTATAGGTTTAGAATTTCAACTGCCGAAGATGCAGCAGTTGCTGCAAGTTATCTGCAAAATTTAAATGAAGCAGGATTTTTCACCCCTGAAACCTTATACTTGCTTGTAATTTTTTTTAAGTTGACAAGAGCGAGTGAAAAAGTCATAGCGGAATGTGGTGTGAAGTGGTGTGAGTGGAGTGAAAAAGGCATAGCAAAGAAAAATGATATTTCAAAACTTCCAAATGCAGATAATATTGGTGTTTACTTTGATGGAATGAAATATTCAACAAGAGCAATGATAAATGTGACCTGGCAGTTGATATCTTGGTTTTTTACCCCAGAAGGTGAAGGTGTTTGTTTTTTGCTAAAATAACCTAATCTTACTGAATCATGTTTAGTACCTAGAGCAGATAGTACTTCAATTAACACCGGCTAGAAAGGTGGTGCTATAATGCATCTTAAAAAGTTGTTAGGTCACAAGTGCCACCGGGTCATATTCATGCTTTATTCAAATGAGTTATTTTTGTGTCACCTAAAAGGGTAAAAAAATTGTGGCTCCCTTTATTCAGTTAAGAGCTTGGTATGCAAACCATGAAAGTATTTTAATCTCTTTTTTTATCCAGCAATAGTACAAAAAGCCACAACTTTGCAGTTGACCATTTTTTTAAACAAAGGGGTAATAATATTCTTGGAGATATGCAAATTAGACCAAGAAAACACAATTAAACTGAACTTTGCTGCAACTGCTCTTCAAGAGCAAGTTAAATGGGAAAACAAAGAAATACAAAAACCAGTTTTTACTAAAGATAAATTGTTATTGCTAAGATTGACACCTTTATTAATTCTCTCTGTTAAAATTTATACCTAAAGTACCAAATGTGCTGTAAAATAAGTGACAGTAGCATCTATGTTAGTAGTTGGGCCAAAAGATCAACATAGAGAGCTGTTATCTTTGTTTAAAACAAAGAAAGAAATTTTATTGAATTTTAATAATATCAATATACTTATATACTTTGTTTTTTTAATAGTGTTTTAATAGTGTTGTTAAAATATCATTTGAGTAAGATAGGGGATAAACCACCTGTTTGTTGTTGAAAATGCATCACTAACATCGTCACTAACATTGTCTCTTTTAATTTTTAAAACAAAATAAGAAAGTCTGAAGAACTTGAAAGTTTTTTATTCATTTAAACTTTACAAAAAATATATATAAAATAAAAAATATACATAAAATCTCACATAAATCTAACTCAATGTTTGAATCTTATGTTTAATAAGAAAAAGCTTTACTTATCTTAACACCAAAATGGTAAGGCAACTATACACATCGCTGGTTAGACCGCACTTGGAATTCGCAGCTCCAGTGTGGAGTCTAAGTAATAAAAACAATATCAATGACCTAGAAAAAATTCAAAGACGAGCAACAAAGCTAGCCCCTGAACTAAAACATCTAAGTTATACCAAAAGATTGACAAAGTTGGGCCTCACAACTCTGGAAACAAGATGTATAAGAGGAGATCTCATTGCTTTCTTCAAATTAACAACTGGGATTGATAAGATATTGTGGTATAAAGAGCCTAATAAAGCTTCTTCCCAGAGACTTCGAGGTCATCCAATGAAATTTGAAAGAGAATTTGCAAAAACAATACCGAGACAAAAAAAATTTACGAACAGAGTGATACCTAATTGGAATGCTTTACCTGAAAAAGTGGTTTCTGCAATGACAGTAAATTCTTTAAAGCTAGACTAGATAAACATTTGTTAACGGCTGTTAAAGTATAAATTTTAAACTTTATGCTCCGCGACAATCGTCGTTACAGCAGTTTGTATTGCTATTACTATAATGTGCATGTTAGGTGTAGATTTATGTGAGACTGGTTTTTTTAGTATGTTTACAAGTTTCAATTTTTCAATTTTTTTAGATTCTTTGAAGATAAGTATAGTATTTTTTGAATTTAGAATTTTTTTGAATATAGAATTTTTTTTTATGATTTTGCTGCTAGAAATATATTATTTTTAAGTTATTCAGTATTTTGTTGATTAACATAACTGCGTGCAATCCTGTTTATAAGGTATATCAAAGTTATTATTATTACATTCAATTAATTGTTTTTCATAGTGCTTGTACATCAGCCTCACTAGAGCCATCATATGTTTTAAGAGCACTTGGTGCTGATGATGATATGGCCCATTCATCAATAAGGTAAAATATGGTTTTATAGTTATTTTAAGTTTCTAAAATATTGCGATAAATGTATATTAAAGTATATTACTGTATTTATACCATATATATTTTAAATATATATTTGAAACGCTATTTATTAGAAAAGATCCCTATTTTAGATTCGGCATAGGTCGTTTTACAACCGAAAGAGAAATTGACTTCACTATTCAGAAATGTGTCAACAATGTCAACAAACTTCGTGAGATGAGGTATTAAGTTTTGCTATTTTAACTTTTAGTTTTGTCATTTCCGAAGAAACATGTATTTTAATACCATATTTAATAATTTTCATATTTTTTTTATAAGTTTTGATTTAATAATAAGTTTTATCTATTCATGTATTATGTTATCAACAAGTCATATGCATGTATTAATATTATTTATGGCCTAAATGTGATAGTAGATGTTTATATCTGTTACATAAGTTACTTCTACATTATATTAATTAGATAATAAATCGACTTGTTTATTAAGTTGTGTAATTCTAAAGCGACAGAATGCAATAAATGTGTCATGGTGGTAGTTTTTTTTTTTTTTTACTGCTTCGAAAAAATGTTTTGATTTTACACGACCAATATATTTAAGTTTCTATGCTTTAAAATATGATAAAATGGTAAGATATTACGAGGTTCAGTGACTATTTTGTCTCATTTTCTCAAGCTTGTACCCGTGTGTATTATCTAGTAGGGGAAAGGCGCCTATGATGGCATACCGGTCATTTTTTCATAAATATTAGTTTTGGCGAAAAAGTGATTAGACCAACATGTCTATACTGTCTATACTATAATGTCTATATTACATTAGTTTTATTAAAAACACGTCCCTCATGCACAAATATTGTTTTTTACAATCAACAAAAATTGATTTTGGGATGTGCTCTTCCCTTTAAATCCCTTTAGATGTGCTAATCCTTTTAAATATTTAAGATTGTGATTTTATTATTAACTGTGCAGAATGAAATTTTCATGCATTTTATTTCTAAGTTTTGTGCATTTAGTGGAATAACTATTTTAATTTTAATTTTTAAACAAGGCAGACATAGCTTGTTGAAATGAAAATAATGGTTTCTTCCTATGAAGATGGCATATTGAGGAGTTCCTATGAAGATGGCATACTGACGAGTTGAGAAAACCTTTTTCTTTCATAAAAACAACATATCTGTTAGTGAAGTAAAAAATAATTTTTACTTCACTAAAATATTTTTGGTTCAAAAAACACACCAAACGCAAAATCTCTTATGCGCATGCACAAACTTTTTCACTGCTACTGTGTAGCACAAAAGGCTTATTTAGGATTATTACGCGTAATTTCTGGGATTTCTGAAGGAAGATTCTAAGGTCAAATAAAATTGTCGAGTTACCCTTGATGCTAATCAGCCCCATTCTTCCATATGCCATCATAGAAGCAGTAGTTGCCTATGATGACATATTTGTGCTTTTTTTTTTTTTTAATAAAAATAAATAATAAAAAAATAAAACTGATAAAAACTCTTAGGGTTATTATTGTAATAAAGAATGCGTCCGTATCAAAACTTTTGTTCTTAGTCTTCAGAATACTGAATAATGAAGCTTCAAAGTTATGTATGCCATCATAGGCACCTTTCCCTTAATGCATAGCATTCATCATAGATTTTCTATTATTTTTATTGTATGACAATATGAATTTCAATTAGTAAATAAATGTTATGCTTTTAAAATAAGGCTATTTCAATGTAAAATTCCTATTAACCAAGACATAGTTGTTTCACACGCTTTTGCGCTTGTTTTTTAAAGTTTATCTCTGAGTTTTTATTTTTCTAATGTGGAATTCTAAAACTAACCGTATTATTTTTGTATTAATAAGTACTTAAGAAAAAAAGTTTATTGTAAAGAAATTAATAATTTTTGTTAACTAATAAAAAATTGAATATAATTCATCTTTGTTTTCTATGTTTAAAAATAATTGCATCCGATAGTGTTTTAAATATATTTTTTAATTGCTTGTTTTAGTATTATTTTATACGTTTCTATTATTTCAAGCAAAAATATTTTAATATTTGAAATTAAAAAATTGTTACTACGAAAAAATTTTGTTACAACTATAAATTATATATAAATAATAAAAATATTAGGATTTTTAATTCTAAATACTTTGTTATTCTAATTTTAATTTATTTGAAATATTATCGGTTAAATATTTTATTAGTATAATGTAATATCATTATAAAAAATTTTCTACTTATTTATTTAGTTTATAGATATGTATTATAGTATATTATACCGTAAGATTTTTTATTTTTTTATTTTAGTCCACTGTGGGAAATGATACAGGAAGGCATCGATCTTAAATCAATTAAATGGTCGCAACACTAGTATTTGCCTCTTTAACACTCTTTGTTTACAATCTTTGCTGAAAATACGTGTCTTAAGTTTAATTCTTTTAAAAACTATTTAATGACGAAAGTAAAGATATACACAAAAAATGTTGAATTTTTTTTTTTTTTTTTTTTTTTCTCAATTGAACCAGTGATGGATTGAGACTTTTTGAGGCCCGGGGCTTTTTTGATTTTGGAGGCCTATTTATGGGCCAGAGCCTAAAAATGACAAAAAAATAATAATAATAAAGGTCCTCTTAAATTTTTGAGCAACCCCCCCCCCTCCCTTGATCCGGCACTGAATAGAACTAATTAAAATGAAAATACGTAGGGAAAAAGTAAAAAAATACGTTGACATAAACGAAATGTTGTTCATTCATTTATTATAATTGAAGATAAAACCATTAAAATAAAAGTAAATTTGATTATTTACTTCTCTACAGAGATTATAATATATGACACAGCTGAAGTTTAGATTTTGTAAAATTGTGAAAGATATGTAAATTTACTGGTAATTCGGTATTTAAAGTTTTGCATTTTTTTAATAATATAATAAAAGTAACAATTTAGTATTTTCTTTTTTAAAAATATTTTGTTATTATTTTATCAAAGCCCTATAAATTAGCCTATATAGTCAGTTAGTCGAGCATTTGACACATTTCAGTCAGATGAATTTCAATTTTGAGGACTTTTTTTAAAAGCAGTTGGCACTTTTAGGAATTCGCCAACCCCCTCCTCCTCCTCCTCTCTCTAAATTTTATATATATATACATTAGGGTGGGGCATAAAACACAATAAAAAAATACCATAGTAGTTTTTCTGGTACCTTTTAATATCTTTATTAAAAATATATAATTTTTTTTTTTTATTATGGGCACTCCTATGGTCAGTCCCAGCAGTCCGAAATTTTGAAAATTTCTACTTTTTGTAAATAATGAGGGGGCCTGGGTCACTTACAAATATTTCAAAGATATCTTTAAGGTTATTTTTGTAGCCTGATAAATATTATTTAAGATTATATTTTGTTTTATTGCAAAAAATGAAATGAAATGGTCAGCCCTACCCATTTAAAGACATGCTGTGTATATTTGGGAGGTAAAGGGGGAGGTAAAAAATTTTTCTTACAACTTTAAATAAAAATTTTTACATTTCTATTTATTTTTTAAAGAAAAGTTATTTTAAAGTTTTCAGCCAAAAAAATTTTTCTGTTGTCTGAAATTTTAAACGATGATCTGCAACAACCAGTAAATTAGCTTGGTTATCTTCTTCGTTTCGGAAAGTTTCAATAAAGTCTTGACCAAGTTTAATTGCACGTTCTGCACTGTCATTTACAATAAGAAGACCAGTGATATAATTTTATATACAAGAAGACCAGTGATATAAATCATATATAACCTGAACATGTTTCCCAGTTTGATGAACTGATTTTCAGCCATTCTGTCTCATGTAATGTCATTTTAAGTAAATAAAAGAAAAACCAGCTTTCGGGACCAATAAAATCTTCATTTCTTTTTGTTATTTTTTTTTTTTCATTGTCAGTAAAAATTTCTGAACTTAGTTTTCCCATTTTATAACTGGTAGGCTTTGCTGTTTGAGCTAATTAAAGAGCTAATTTATGTAGCTGATCTAAAGGTAAGCGTTTATCAGCAAGACACATAACCACAAATATTTCATTTAAATACTAATTGTGTTATTCAAGTGACTCTAGTACGGCCTCTGCTGGTTTAAGACATAGTTCAGAATGTTGTATCATTTCATTAATGGCTTTTAGATCTAAAGAAGGTGCTATGGCAGGGATAGGAGCTTTAATAAACCATGGAACATAAAATAGTGCTGTAAATGAACCAATTTCATGAATCAGCTTTCCCCCTTGTAATGATATTATATCAGAACATAAGTTACTGAATTGTGGCTGTAGAATGTCGTATGTTAAATAATAAACGCCCTGTGCCATAAACCTGGCATGATGTGAAGCCATTGTAAATCTAAAGTGAAAATCTTTTACTTTGCCACCTAACCAAAGAACTGCTAACTGTATAAAATACTTGTATTCATTTCTTGGAAATATATCATTATCGAGGCAATTTTGAAGGAATGTTAATGATTCAGAAGCCTAAAATAAAAAATAAATAAAGTTTATTATTAAAACTTATAATCAAACAGATTAATCTAATTAGGACAATCAAACCAACCTGCTTTTCCAATAAAGAAAAATTTTTCTGAGTCAAATCTCTTTAGGTTATCATAATTTATCATCTTTTCAAGAATCGATTTCCAATTACACTTTAGCCTTTCAAATAACTCAGTCTTTGGTCCATTTGTTTTACCTCCAGTAAGAACACTTGAAAAGTGCTAAAATATATTTATTTCAAATCACTTAACTAAATTTTAATAATAAGGTGAATCGTTATTAAATTCATCGAGAAATATTAAATAAATAAATAAATATAAAAATATTTTATGACTTCTTTTCATTATTTACCTTTATATGTAATTCGTAGACATGATGACGACAAGCCATCCAAATCAAAGCTTTTCCTCTCTACTGCTCAATAAGAGTACAGACTCCTTTTAGCCAACCAGTATTTGTGACTGTAGTGTTAAAGGACAGACAATCAACATAACTCCCAGTATGTAAAGTTTTTTTGATTGCTTTCCCAAGAGACTCAGCAGTGCCATCTTTCACAATTAAAATACCCAAAAGTTGGGACTCTGAAAGATATGGTGAACTGATTAGCACAGGTAATCTTTCAACTTTTTCTTTACTAGTTTCTCTCAATTCTATTATAATTTTGGAGTCGAAATGCACGGTAAGACTTTTAAATTTGTCTTTAATTTTACAGGCAATTGTACTTATACTTGATTTTTTCTGCCTCAAAATACTTCGTTTAGAAATAGAAAAATTATCTGTTGTTTCAGAACTGTTATTTATAAGAGAAGCAAGACTTGCACTCAGTGCAGTCTAACTTATTCCATATCGTGAGGCTGTTGGAGCTAAATCTTTTCCTATATTTTTAGGAACTATAAGAGGAGCAGCATTAGATTTTTTAATTTTTATAGAAGGCTGTAGATACTGTTCATCTTGGTCATTATCTAAAGTATTTAAATTTTTCAATGTGTCATTAAATTTCTCAGTAACCAACTCTTTCTGTTTTCTTATGGACTCTTTTATACTTTGATGTTTTTTTTCATTTCTCTTTTTCTTTTATTTTTTACAATATTTTGTGAAATTTTATCTTTAACCGACATTTTCTGAACACGCGCTCCTTTCTGGTCGTTAAGAAAATCTACATCCTCTCTTCTAGTTTTTAAATCTTTAGTTTTATCTTTCATAATAGTATGTTCACAATTGTTTTGACTTACATCGAATACTTCTTCTAGCATTCTTGAAAAAGTTTCTCTTTTTAAAACTAAATTTTTACTTAAACGGTACCTGTGTTTGTTTAAATCTTTTCTCTTCCTTTCTAAGTCAACGATCTTGTCTCTAAAACAAAAGTAAAAGAATGCATTAAAACTGTTGTAATTTATTATAAATATGTTATGACTTTATAATTGTAATTTATTATAAAAATGTTATGACTTTATAATTGTTACTTGTATAATATCAATTTTAAACTGGATAAAACTAAAAAATAAAAAGCATTTTAATATAATAAAAACCTGATATGCTTGTCAGTATTAACAAAAGGAATAAAAAAGACAACCACCTATTTCAGCACATTGTGCAGTAAAGTAATCACCAAGTGGACATGAAGCTATACTAACTGATGAAATGTTTGGAAAATCAGCTCTTAGCATAAGATCTCTGTAATGGTAATATTGCAATACAGATCTTTTAGTTGGCAATTGTGTGATAGGTATTGTTCCAATTCTTTTTCCAACAAGAAAAACTTTACGATGAGATTTTTTACCATAATCATTGCTTGTTGACACTGTTTTTACTTACACTTACTTAAATGAAAATTTAAAAAATTATGGATTTTTTTTAACTGAACACCTCCCCCCCTACCTCCCAAATAAACACAGCAAATCTTAAAAAAGATTTATCAGGCTACAAAAATAATCTTAAAAATATCTTTGAAATATTTGTAAGTGACCCAGCCCCCCTCATTATTTACAAAAAGTAGAAATTTTCAAAATTACGGACTGCTGGGACCGACCATAGGAGTACCCATAAAAAAAATATATATATATATTTTTAATATAGATATCAAAAGGAACCAGAAAAACTATTATGGTATTTTTTTTATTGACTTAAATATATATATATATATATATATATATATATATATATATATATATATATATATATATATATATATATATATATATATATATATATATATATATATATTTATATATATATATATATATATATATATATATATATATATATATATATATATATATATATACATATATATATATATGTATATATATATATATATATATATATATATATACATATAAATGTATATATATATATATATATATATATATATATATATATATATATATATATATATATAATATATATATATATATATATATATATATATACCCTAATATATATATATATATATATATATATATATATATATATATATATAAAACAATACAAATGTGCATATAGTATTAAATTATATATCTATATATATATATATATATATATATATATATATATATATATATATATATATATATATATATATATATATATATATATATATATATATATATATATATATAATTTAATACTATATGCACATTTGTATTGTTTTTCCTTTTCAAACAAATCTTATAGTATAGTTTAATTTGAAATAATAATAAATTTTTATTATTGTATATTTGCATAAGTTATTCATGTTTGAAACCAGCATAAAATAAAAGTTGTTTCTTCAATTTCAACTTCTTCCTTAAAATAAAGTCCGCAAGCGGTGAAAAAAATCAGCCGCGTATATAATTATTTAAACCAACCTTAAAGGTCCCAAAATATACCTAATTTATGTTTTCAAAAATACTTGAGTCTTAATTTTGGTTTTATTTCTATAAATACATGTTCAAAAACATTTTTTTTTTTTTATACAATCGTACTTGCTACCTAAATTGTTAAAA